CAAAATATTATCCTCAATCTTTATGACTACCTATACAACTATTTAATAATAATTATACCTACAATATATTCAAAACATTTACGTGTAAACTGTTGTAAGTGCGGAATAAATTTTCTTTAACGTTCAATAAAATACGTAATTTAAATGTATGATGTTTTGTTTCACATAAATAGTAAACTTTTACCTCTGTGGTTGAATTTATAGGAATTAGTAGGTAGGCTTTGTATTATAATTAAGTTTTCTAAAATATAATTGTAATGCGTAAGATTTTCTGTAGGATCTTACTGTAATAATACCTCCCTTTTTCCGCCGTCTTCACTGTTTAAATTCTTTTTCCGTGTGTTATTGTACTTTGTGACGGTGTGCAAATAAACAAATTTTATTTCTTTCTTCTTCTTCTTTCTAATATATAAATTTGAAGGTTTTTTAATAAGTTTTTTTACTAATAGGTAGCTTACAAAATTAGTGTCTAAAATTGTGCTTTCGTAAACGAACTAACGGATAATTTTGTTAACACAAGTTTATGGGATATTAACTCATCTATTCCCAGACTCTATTCAAAAATTCCATCAAAAGGTTGTCTGGAAGAAATCGCCGCGTGTGATAAAACCAAATTACTATTACAATGTAGACTTCTTTTTTTGTGTGCAATAAAATATAAAACTAATAACACTAGCTTTCTCAAGAATCAAGTAACACGACATAGTAAATTAAATTCACCTACCTATGTGGATTTTAGCCTAAAGTTTTATCACATACCTATGATACACCTACCTATCGCGGCTCTTGGCATTTTTACCAACTATGACTTAGCTTCAACATCCCTCAAAACTCCTCCATCATATTTTTCCAACGGTACCTTGATTAGTTTTATAATTTCTGAAGGTTAAGTACCGGTCAACAATTTTCCAAACAAATTATAATAAAACGTAGTACAATAACGAAGTTAATATTTACGAGTTTACGTTAACTACCAGTTAATATACACACAAAGAACCTTTGTGGCTACAAATGGTCATTCTAGGGTTCATAAAAGCTGAACTGTACCTCTACTATAAGTTCAAATCAGTAGTATTTGTCGATACTCGATAGTGACGACGTATTTTTTGTATAGCGAATTTTAGTTCTCTAAATGACCACTAGAGGCGCTGATAAAACTTTCCATATAGTAAAAATTTACGTGGTCGTTATCGAGTATCGACTATTATTGCTTTAAATTCATGGTAGAGGTACTGATCCTACCGTTAGCTAAATATGTAAGGAAATACTTAGGGTTATAAAATACGAGGTACTTGGTTCTCTTATTAGTTGATTTTAGTATGTAATCGTCATTGGTATTCGATGTTATTTGGTATTAGGTGCTTTTATGTTTTTGTGTTTAGTGAAATTTACTTAAGTATCAAACCAACTTTTATCAACTTGCAACAATACTTTAAGTTATCAATAATATTAAATATCGATATATTACACAATCAATAAATGGTGACAACGAAAATTTTGGGAAGAATATAAATTTTCAGACTCTTTTTAAAGTTAAATATTGTCTAGGGATTTTTGGTAAGACTATTAAACACTAGCTACTTCCGCGCGGTTTCACACGCTCTGCTCAGCTCCTATTGGTCGTAGCGTGATTTTTATAGTCTATAGCCATCCTCGATAAATGCGCTATCCAACACAAAAAGAATTATTCAAATCAGACTTGTAATTACGGAGATAAGCGCGTTCAAACAAACAAACAAAAAAACAAACTCTTCCGCTTTATATAATAGTATAAGATAAGATAATATTGTCTAAAAGCTGAATTATTCCAAAATCTAAACTTTCATGCTGCTTTTGAACTACTAACGAACTCACTGACAATTACTTCAATGTTACCGTAATTTTCGCATCGAGTAATATTTTACTCGAACCACAGATCATAAAACTCAAACAGGCTACATCATACAGTCAAGAATGTTATGCAACAATAGAAAAAAAATGGCGCAGAACCAGAAAGAGATTCTTGAAGAAAAATAGAATAATATTCTAAGTGGTTATGGCGAAACATTGATAAACAGGAGCATTGCAATGTTTTTATACTGACTTATATGGGGTTACCTGTTACAATATTGTGTGCACGTTGAACCATACAAAACCAGATTATCATGATCTTGCTTTGTATGATATTTACGCACGTTCAAAGATCAGTTTATACTGGATTTGCGTAGCTTTATGTGTAGCCGTGTACTATGATCGAGTTTAATCACCTACGTCTTGCTGCGGCCTTGGTTAATTGGAATTCCTTATTGTGGTTTTTTTATTGTTCCTTTATTGTTTTTGTATTGAAAATGTTTATGGGAGTTTAGGGTTGTTTTCGGTCATTACTTTTGTCGTGTAAACTACGAAGTAGCTGGTGGTAGCATTTTATTAGTGTAACTTTAATGTTTTGACTGCCTTGTTGGCCGAGTGGTCGCAAGGCAACTGCCAGGCAAAGGGTACGATTCCCTACGGGATAGGTTCATCCCGTGTTACATGGGACTCATAAATAGTGAAAAGTGAGTGCTACCTCTAAAGAGATAGGTAGAGGACCCTTTGGGGATAAAAAGCGTGATGATACGATGATGACTTCTAGTACTTACTTAGTTTTTTACCCTTTGAGTACCGTCATTATAGACACAATTAAAGAACAATAGGTTGCGGTCACCGCTATCCTCGCGGTGTTTGACAGTTTTATGTTTACTGTTTCTTTAGGTTTCCTAAAAGACCTTCAGGTCAGGTTTCTTCTTTGTTAAGCAACAGACATCCAACGAAATTAACAGGATAGAATGAATGAGACTTTATAATATGTATTTCTTACTAAACAATGACGCAATCTACCGATCATAAGAACAATACCCCAGCTTCCATTCACAAAACCAAAATTCATTAAAATTTATACTTTTACGATAGCACCAAATTCATCATAATCATAAAAAATAAGAAGACGTCACTTTTGAATGAAAATCTTCTCATGAATAAATGGAAGACGAAAGAGATTAGCATTATAAAACATTTAAAACGTTATGTTAAAAAATATAGGAGAGATGTATCGGGACCAAGGTCGGGTCGGATTAGTTTTTTAACCTACAATAAACAGTTCATTTCACGAAGGGTACATAAGCAAGGAAAATTTTGTATAAATTATGAAATAATTGAATCGAAAAGCTTCGATTTAGTTGTTACTAACGCAATTCTTATGATTCTTGAGTGTACGACGCGTTGTGTTACGCGCGCACCTCAAAAAGCCATCAGGTTACCACAGATGGGGCGCAATAGGGCTGATGCCGATACGAAGCCACAGAGGACTTAATGTGTTGCCGGGGCTTCGGCTAGAAGTAGAGGAGTAAGAACGAGGTGGTTTTAATCAGTAAGAGTCTGACAGTCTTGTCTCACTCAAGCGGAAGAAGTCATTAGATGATTTTACGACCTCAAAAAAAACCAAAAAGTTCTGACGATTAGAATACATAATACCAATACTCATCACAAATAGCCCATTGCTTTCTACTGCTAAGAACCTTCTTCACATAATAGTTTCCCATTAACACAGTTTACGTGTTTCAAGTTTATCAAAGAGACCTATTCCTTGATCACCGTTAAACATAGTCCCTTACTCGGTTCTTATGAGAACAGTTGGATAAATAGAGGTGATGACAAATGAGTATATAATGCTAGTTAAAACAGAATATACATATATAGCTACTCATTTAATTGGTCACCTCCAAGATTTCTTTGTAGTAGGATATGAATCTATACACACATATTGACAGTTTGAATAGTTTAAAAGTTCTGTAGACTTTGAATCATTGTACCATCCTGTACCTATATTAAAACTATGATAAAAAAATAGCTTAGATTTTGACTGCACATGTTGTATAAACATAAGAGTTCATATAAATTGATACTAACGTACATTTCCGATACACGTGTCAAAAATAATTGCCAAGACCACTGACCTCCTTGCACTAACCACGCCGAAACGATCCGATTTAAATCGATCACTGTTGTATAATCGAGTACACTCATTGAATAATCGATTTATAACAAGTGACATGGTATCTAATTTTAAACCTTTTTGGGGTTTCTTTTAGGATTTTCTTTGTTCAAAACAGTTTTGGATGGCATTTTGATTGATATTTTCTATTTAAATTATTCGAATCTACCGTTAGAAGCTGTTGTTCCTTTTTAAACAGTGTTCTATTTATGAATCGAAAAACGTTGTACGGTTTAAAGCTAATTACCATCTCATTAAAATGTGTATGGCCAGTTTTTCTTGGTCCGGGTCAAAATAAGGTAGAATATGATTATGCCCCAGATTTAAAATGTTGCTCAACTTTTCTACCTTTGACAGGCAGTCCTATTTTTATTTTTCTTGATTTTATTCGAATGGAAAACTGTATTTAAATGTCGAAGGTCGTGTGAATATATCTTATTCCCGGCCGGATGTTTTGCACATAGATTTTAATATTATTATGACCTGAATAATTCGTCTTTTCGATTTTGCAAGTTCCGTTTCTGTGTATCGTATCACGAATTCATAAAGAAGTAGATAAGTTGATGTTGCTTGGGAACATACAACCCATTCAAGGTCAAGCCTATAAAATTTTATTATCTTTAAATATGCCATTATTATATGTATGTATCTACGTCATATGCGCACAACATAGGCCTCCTCCGAAACGACTGCACTGATTCTGATGGAATTAACGTGAGTGCTAAATAGATTTAAGATCCATATTTGGAAGCAGTAGATGGCGCTGAATTCAATGTTTCCTGGTTACTTCCCAACTGTACTGTATTTTTAATATTTTAACTTAATATTATTGCGTCATTGAACTACTAACGTAGGTGACTTTATTCCCAAGTATTTATAGTAATGAAGAGCCGAAAGTACACATCGTCTCTTTCACTCTTTTGATTTGTAGTTGCATACTAGATGTCATTCATGTGTCCTCTTTTGTTCCAGAAAATTAAGCATCTTCACAATGAGACTAGCAAGTCTGCTGGTCCTCCACGCAGCGGGAGCAGGCCTCGCATCACCCACAGTCCTGGTCAGCAGACCTGTCTCCAAGGTTCCAGTGGAATGGCTGCCGATAGACAACCAAACTGTCTATAGACTGGGTGAAGGGGAAAGTAGGAGGTAAATATGAAGATCTTTTCAATATTGACTAATGGTAGAGTAGGATTTGACGATTTTGAAGTAAATATTTGATCTCTTTCTCTTCGAAAGTTCAATTAAATTATCAGAGGACTACAAAACGTTCTTCATATGACAATAACCATATGTGGTTTGAATTTTTTGGTGAACTGAATTTTGTCGAATAGAAAACTAATTTGTCGAGACAGCAGATGCAAACCACAAAAATACTTAGGTACTCTATGCATTAGCTTATATCAGTACAAAAGTGCGTAGCTATCTCACTACCATGAATTAACAGGTAATGACGATATTTTTACGCCATTTGCATTAATATTAAGCCACTTACAAGGTGCCCACAGTTATTGAAACGTTATTTAGATAATACTAGAAGCACTAAACTTCTCATTACCATAAAAATGTGGGAAAAAGAAACAAAAATGAAGTGTTGAACAAGACATCTATGTTCGAAAATGTAAAACTTCATTTGATGTAAATGAATAAAAACTAGATTTAGGATTCCTTTTGTAAAATGTACTAAGATAATGGAATATAATTACTACTTCATTTGGGACAAGTGTTTGTAAGGGCGGCTTCGAAGCCAAAGTTCAGGAGTCCATTCTTTTACACTTATTACTTTAGCTTGTTTGAGAAAAAAACGCGTCAAAGCGTATTTCATATTGTCAACATGTCATTGTTGCAGCTTGGAGCTGAACACCTCATCCATATCCCAGAGTATAGTCTTCATCACCATCAGTCCGTGTTCCAGGGATTTTCACTGGGCACTATACCACGGAAAGGCTGGAAATAATAATGGTAAGTCTTTTAAATTAATATAAAATAGATTTTAAACATTATTAAACTGTTAAACACCGCGAGGACACCGGTGACCGCAACCTATTGTTCTTTAATTGCGTCTATAATGACGATATTCAAAAGGTTAAATAAATAAAATACACATACAGTATCATACATACAGACAATGTATAATATATCAATGTATAGGTAACCAAAAATATTTTGAAACAACATCTTTAAAATCTTTTTAGAGAGCAACAGCAAAAATTAACAATCTCATGCAAATAAAACGATAAATGTTAGTACATAAAATTTGTATGTGAATCTTTTTCTACTTCCAGGCCAACTGATACTTCAGAAAGAAAGCGCGAGTGGAGAAATGAGCACATTTTCTTTAAACACATCACAGCACGACAAATATGTTATGGTTGTAAGTATAAAGTCATTATACAGCATTTTTGATAATTAAGAAAAATCGTGGCCTGCATTGTCGCATTACCACCAGGACATTTAGTGCAATTTTGGGCTATATACGCTTAGACTTACTGCATATTTTATGAGTATCAACCACAAATCCTTAATTCGATTATAAAGACAGCCAGAAAATAATTATTGGTAATAAAAAGTACTATACGGTTGACAAAAAAAAGTTTATCTTCACTTTTCAGCCGCCAAGACCTTTCTTTATCACAGCAAAATTTTTAAATAAACCGATTTATTTTCAGTTATCAACAACGCGAGGTGGTGCAGCTGTGGTCAGCGTTCGCGGTGAGGCCACAAGACATGTGCGCATGCGTCTTCGAGTGCGTTCGCGCAGAAGGTTGGCTGCTAATTGGGAACCTAGGTAATTTCTAAAATCCCATAATTACAAAAATGCCTTCGGATAATCTAAAACAAAATTGGGTAATAATCTCATAACATAACATAACATCACGCCTTTTATGCCTGAAGGGGTAGGCAGAGGTACACATTACGGCACTAAATGCCACTGTAGAATGTAACACCCACTTTTCACTATTTATGTTATAAGTCACATGTAATAGGGGGTGAGCCTATTACCATATACCGAGCACATTTCCAAACTCCGTGCTACTACTGAGATTTTTAAAACCCAGTAAAACTTTGCCCGTCCCGGGAATCGAACCCGAGACCTCTTGACCAGCAGTCACACTTGCGCCCACTCGGCCAACGAGGCAGGTAATAACCTCCTCCAAAGAGTTTTTAGTATCTTTGATATGGCTTAAATTTTTTTTTTCTTTTAAAAAACGTTGCCCCACATTAAGATTTTCTCCTGTGTCGTGGGTGCGTTTACAAACATACAAGTTCACATACACAATGACACCCAGACCCGGAACAACGATTTGTGGATCACACAAAGTATTGTTCCGTGCGGGAATCGAACCCGCGACACGTTGCACGGCAGCCGGTTGCCCAGCCACCACTCCAACCGTGCAGTCAAATTATTAGCTCATGATATATTTTGATTTTACTTAAATTTTTAATTTACTTTTTTAATAACAATCGGTTCATTATGGATTGAGTAGTGTACCAATATGAAAGTTTTTCACTTTTGTGACACAAACACCGATATCATCTGCATTAAAATACCCTCTAACAAAGATGTACATTAAAGCAACTAAACTTTAGAGAATCTAGCCATAGTCACAACACTTCCAAGAATTTCGAAGTGACCAAGCCTTGTAAGTTACAAGCTCGTTACACAAGTCATGTGTTATCAAGTCTGCTATCGGTAACTCGTAATAAAGTAACTATGTGGCCGTTAAGTGAATTAAGTATTGGTTAATCTTGGACTGTGCTCGGAACAGGTTAAAGGTGGATATGTGTTACATTGTCGACTTGCGAATTATTGTTTATTTTGGTTTTATTATTGGTACTAGCTTCTACCCGGGACTTCGTACGCGTAATCCCATTTTCCCGTCCCCGTACGTGATTTTCGGTAAAAAGTAAAAAAAAAAATTTGGTCAAAAAGTATCCTATGTCGGTCTCCTGGCTCTAAGCTACCTCCCTACCAATTTTCAGCCAAATCTATTCTGCCATTCTTGAGTTATAAATGGTGTAACTAACACGACTTTCTTTTATATAGGTATGTACCTCTATATAGATTGGTAAGGTTGGGTGAAAGTTGGTTCCAGCATTTAATTGACTTCTCTATACAATTTTTGGTAATCTGTGTGCGACTTCCAAACCCGTCAGTCATGTGCGGAGTTTATATCAGACCCTAGAGCAGTGGATGTTGTTAGGGGTGATAGCAATGATGATACTACACTCGACCGAATTTCAAGTTAAAGTCTTAGAAGGAAAGAAAAACCTCGAAGAAATTTAGTTAAACTGCAAATCTTCTAAAATCAATTCACTTCCATACCATATCCATACATTCGGTGAAACATACTTCAGAATTAATATAACACACACCTAAATCACCTCGTCCGTTGACACTCAGAAATATCTCAATAAAAACAAGTAGCACGACGCACCGTTAGAAATAAATGTCTCACATACACATGTTCCTTACAAGAAAACCAATGAATTTATAACACTATGCCTTTTAGAGCCGAAGCTGTTTGCTGCAGGTAATGAAATTTTTATGAAGACTTTGATTTATTGGTTTACTTCAAGCTTACTTCGATTTAGATTTTCATCGATTTCTTAGTGTTTTGTATCAAAATAGGCAACAGTGATAAATGGGCTATAAAATAAATGTTATAGCAATATGACAGCTCAATGTTTTAGATTAAGATAAGGATGCCATTTTCTAACTGGCCTTTCTCATATGTCTTCTTCAACAGTTTTTACATTTAACAATTTCTTAAATTTTATTTTAATGTCCGTCTGGTAGATTATTTTAAAACATTAGACCCGTATTTTTTCTTTTCTCCCAAAATTTACAATTTCGACGATATATTGATTAGAAATTTCATGTAACGTCACAGCGTACAACAAAATGTAGCACGTTGTGACGTAACTACCCACTCCCACTCCTAAACTTATATTATATCCATTTTATTTAAATATTGTAACTTTATACGAGAAAATAAAAAATACGTGTCTAATATTTTTTCATTATCTAACTGACGGACTAATTAGATTTTTAATTTTGATACCTTGGAAACTACCCTATTATTATTGAGCCTTGTCCTAATTTTCACAATCATCCTCATTATACCCTTATCAGTTAAGAAGTAAATATCATCAAGTTGTTCAAAACAATAACAGCTTTTTTTCATTCACTGATGATACTGCAATAGAAATTCCAAGATGCCTCAGTACAGTTACAAATATTTCCTGATGGTATTTTTTATGAGCAAAATGTTCTTTAACGTCCCACGTAGCCTGTCAATCATAGATGCTGCTAAACAACATTGTGTGTTGGAATTCCTTAGCTTTTAATTGTGCAGGATCTATAGAACCATATGTTTGTTTGAGATGCCTGTATATCCCGTTATTGAAGGTTACAATGACAGGGCTGGCTGTTTCTTCTTAGAATTTTATTATTATTTTCTATTTTTTAAATGGTTATATTTCAAGCGATGTTGCTATTGATAAGTCGATTATCCTGATAAATAATATAACCCTTAAGTCCCTTAAAAATACTTTAAATTATGTTTATTATTTTGACATCTTTGTTAGTTAGTCAAACGTTCAGAAAGTAGTAAAAAGAAATTTGAAAATGTAAATTAATTAATTACATTGCGAAACTTGTAACTTGCACCACTGTTTATAATAATAATAGAAACTTTAAGCTTGATAAAATACAATAAATTCAAGACAATAAACACAATAAAATAATATTAAAATATACAGATAGAATTAGAAATCCTATTATCAATTTTATAATAGGGACACCACCGATTGACGCACAACTAGCAGTTTCGTCCTCATTCTTGAATTCGTAAATCAGTGTATTTGTAAAGCTAATTCCATGAGTCCGGGTTCAAAGTCGTGTCGCCGCAATACATCGATATTAATTCATTCGTTTAATACGTCACTAAAATCTATCATTGTACTTAACCCCCTAAGAATCTTTCCTTAATTTATTTTTTATGGGATAAGCCAGTAAATGTGCTAAAGGATCACCTGATGGTAAGCAATCGGCGTCACTCATGGACACCTGGACCACCAGAGGCGTTACATGTGGGTTACCGGCCCCGGGCATTGCGAGGATTGGGGAAGGGGGGGAGAGATTAGGCCTCCGGTAACCTCACTCACACGACGAAACACAACGCGAGCGTTATTTCACGTCGGTTTTCTATGAGGCGGTATCACTCTGGTCGAGCTGGTCCGTTCGTGCCGAAGCATGGCTTTCCCAAACTTAATTCCTCCTTAATTGTCATTAGAATCCATGACGTCACGTCTGTTGATAATTAACTATCACCTGCTGGTGCTTATATCTTCAAACTGTTTGTTTTACTGCTTTTTATAACATCTGTCTTTATCCCTTATTCTTCCGATTTCAACTTTGACTCTAAATTTTTAACCAGTGTAATAAAACAATGACTTCTCACCATTATAGTATCCGAATGCAATTCTTCGAAATAGCAATCTTTGATTTACCTTATACCTACCAAAATTCTCGGAAACCCTTTCTGTCTATAGACGACCTTTCGAAAATACCTTGATTAAATTTAAATAATATGCCTAAGGCCGTTAATTGGAATTTAAAGCTCAGAGTAAATAAAGATTGAGTAATCAAATTAAAGGTGTAAGTATTCCAATTTTCATTCGTCCTTATAAATATTACGTACTTAATTAAAGTGACAAGAAGTAACATATTAATTAAGACCACTTACAGGTATGCATAGTCCTGACTCGATTAAGTATGCATGCCTTAGTTTCTATGTTTTTATTTGTATGAATACCTTCGTGGCACAGAAGCCAGTGATAACTCAACCATTTATTTGATCTGCTTGAGACTTGTTTAAGCGTTTGTAGATATAATTGTACTTACTTTATCATGTCTTTCATTTTGTCGTTTGATAAACTTTAGCATTATTAAAAAAAAATCGAAATTTGTATTTGACATTATAGGAGCTGTACTTATCCTATGTGTTTTCATTCCTAATAATTAATCCTATTGCAGTCAAAAGTTTGTCAAGATTAAAAAGATTAAGTTTTCTAAAGCCATCCGTGTTTCTAGTTCATTCATTATGGTTCTTGACAATTTCGAAACAAAACCTCTATAAGACTTTTCCATATCATAGCATCTTCAGATCCTCCTGTCTACCAGTTTGATTACCCAGTCATGATTCCAGATCAGTCATATCTTAATTAATCAAAAAGATCAAACGATTGATTAAAAAATGCAACGCGTTTATAATCACCATCTTGTATTAGTCCAAACAACTTTTTATACTACAAGACACGTATAACTGAGAACTCATCCTACCTTTAAAGTAATTCAATAGGATTTTCAATGTTTTCAAACGTAGCTCGTCAATTTAACTTCAATAATTGACTCCTTATAAAGATTGTTAAGAAAGTTGCTAGTTTTCTCGTTCTTGATTGTAAGCTAACAGGCGGCGGCACGTCAGACTATACTGTACCAGTATTTCCTGATCTTTCTTCTTGTAAATTGTGAGTGAAGTGATGGGTCTTTCGATGTTGGGTGTTTTGAAGTTGCTACAATGTCTACATTGCTTATGTTTTTCTTCATGAAGTTTACTTTTAATTAAGTGGTTAGACTCTTTTGGTTAAATATTGTATCTCTTTTATGTATTTTGTTTTTTATTTTAATTAATATTGAAAGAGTATGTTGAGTAGGTAAATATTTTGTTGTAGAATAGAGATCGTAAGAATGATCTTTATCGTCTTTATTTCTATGAATTCGAGAGGTCGAATTTTTCGTTTTTTTCATACTTATGCATACATGTTAAATTATTTCATTTTTAATTGGTTCCAGCCCAATCGACCCTCAAGAAACCACATACTGCGTAGTAGCATCACACAGAAAGAACTACACGTCACTCTGTGCAGCCCACCATGACATCAAAATGAGTCGCTTAGAGAACAAATCAAACAGATTGAATCAAGAAATGGATCGTATTAAACAAAACGAACGAATAGATAATGAAACTCGTTTTGATTTAATGTCTGAAGTTGATAATAAGATCAATGTGGATTCAGACTTTTTCAATGTCTATGAAGGGAATTTTAATAATGTTTTTAGGAGGAAGAAGTTTGGTAAGTTTTGTTTTCGTCTTTTAGTTCTTGGCTAGAATCTTTAAAGATTTCTTCTCTTCTATAGCTCTTCGAGTACATAAGATTATAAACATAGGAGCTTTTTTGTTAATTTACCATAATATTATCACTAATATCAATTATTTACACCTAGACCTTTTTGTCAAAAAATTTGCTCAATTAATTGTGGACCTACTTTGTTCTTATGAACTTTTTACGTAATATAATTTTACTAGCCGACCCGACAGACGTTGTCCTGCATATCCACTTGAATGTATAAACAAAAATTCATTCAAATTAGTTCAGCTGTTTAGGATAAATAACCTAAACATTGACTGCGGCGCCATCTGCCGGGCTGATTTGTGAATCTAAACCATTCCCAGATTCCCTTGAAGACACACAAAACATTTCATCAAAATCAGTCCAGTCGTTTGAGAGAAGTTCAATGACATACACACTCACAGAAGAATTATATATATAAAGATAATACAAAAACTTTCTTACTTATTGTGTTAGGTATACTTTACTCATAAAGGATTTAATTTTTGATGTAATATAACATCAGGTCGCAGCACCAAAGTGACAGATGAGGATCCAGTTATCGCTTGTGTTGGTGGAAGAACGCATCATTTGATAGAAAACTTGGACCCTAGTACGGTAATTACCCTTTACGATAACCTTACTATTACTGAACAGTTTGATCAGACATTTCAGTTGAACTAATCGTATTAAGAATGAGTTCTTTGAATATTTTTTTGTTAGATCCACCTTTATGTTGTTTGTGAAGTTCTTTTTGCCCCATCAATGAGGTTTTTCTTTATAATCTTCTTTAGCTAAATGTGGTCCAATTGTTCATTTTTCAGACTTACTTTGTCAGTGTGTTCGGTGTAGCCAAGGACCGTCGCTCAGGGTCTCTGTTGGCTACGGGCAGTGTCCGTCCGCGCACGTCCACTGCAAAGCGACTTCGCGAAAACATACCAACCAAAGCTGATATTAGAGGAAGAAGTGTATTTTATTTTAAGGTACGCCAGATGTTATTAGCTAAACTTCCACTCAGTTACGCATCATACCATTTACTTCTGATTGCAATACACCAAACATCCTCATCATGTTTCAGGCAACAGTTGGTGCTGGAGGTGGTCTCTGGTTGACTCTATCTACCTGTGGAGGAGCAGTCGATGTCGAAGTTCTGGTCAGGGGCAAAAGACTACACTTGGTTAGAAATATAGGTAAGAATTCAATTTATTATGTGCATACATTGAAACTAAAAAATTGACAACATTTTCAAAAAGGTTGGCGCTGTTTGCTTCTTAAAATTTTAATTTTAAATAAGGTACTAGATAATGTAATTTCCTTATTTAAAAACCCTAATCAAACCTTTCACTTACTTCTCAACTGGACGTATGTGATGTACCTACTAATAGAGAAGATTAATTCAAATTTTTTTTCTTCAGACCCACACTCCAAGTTCTTCGTGCCAGCACCAATTACTACATCTTCAATCCAAGAGACGAGTGATGAAGGATCTGTGCAGTTTGACTCCAGTTCCGAGGAGGCTAGAATGAGATACGTTATCAAAGTTGTGCCCAGTAAATGGGATAGAGATGGCGCTGTGGGTATTGAAGTAAGTCTTCTTCTTAAGATCTTAAAGATCTCGATTGGTTCTTTAGTAGGTAATAAACAGTAAAACGTTGAAAGTCCTTAGATATGTTCTAAGTTTAGCGGTAGCGTCTTTTGGATGATCAGCATAATTAGTTTGTGGCGACACATGGTACATGTCAACGGATGACGTCACAAAAATCCTACATCACACTTGCAAAGTTTACATGCAAATTAACACGGATAGAAAATCCCAACGAACAACTGTTGTTCAGAAAGCCCGCCAGGCACGATCACCTCGCCTGGTCGGAGGATCCTCCTTTTCCGATCTTAGGAAACTTTCAACTCTGTTCCCTAAAAATTAATACCTTATAGGTACTATAGAAGAGAGTAACATCCTTTATTCATTCACTGTATAAACAACCAAAACGGTCAGGGAGTTTTTTTTTTCTTATATAATTCCACCTGGATTTAACAAACATTAGATTTTTTTTTTCAAATAATGAAACGATAAATTTTTCCTCTAGTTGACAGCGTCAACAACGCGATGGGGCATGAACACTCCAGAATTGACTGAAGATGGAGCCGTCGTCAGGGAACTGCGGCCAATCAGATCTTGTAGATCTGTAGATGTAGCATTCTTACCAGCCACACATAATGCAACGGATGTCATCAGGTAACATTATGTAGACTATTAAAATGATAAAGATTAAAGTTCGAATGACCAATACAGTCAAATATTTATAAGTGCAACTGAAATTTTACCCAATTTAATGAATACTTATATTATTTTTAAAGGCTGACAACGGTGCTCTGTTACTGAAAGAGGTCGTGATCCTCTTCCATCATCCCTTATTCCATAAAAAGGGATTTTTCACAGGTGGAATGGCGTACATTTTTAAGTAAATCCCATATTTTGTTAATTTTAACATACATAACATCACACCTTTTATCGACGAAGTGGTAGGCCGAGGTACACATTACGGCACTAAATACCACTGTACAATGTGGCACCCACTTTTCACTGTTTATGTTATGTAATGAGGGGTGAGCCTATTGCCATATACCGAGCATAATGCTAATTTAAAATTGTCTTTAATACCATTGTTTATTTTCAGATACTGCATCATTGCTCGAGAGACGATAAGCGGAGAGGTCTATGGATGCTGGTCAACTAGAAAAGCAGTCAAGGGCCAATGCGTAAACCATACACAGAAGACGTAAGTTACTGAAAAACTAGGTTTATCTTGATTTTTGGATTTTATAGCAAAGCATACTTACCTGACATCTATTTTTTCCAATTACCTTTTAAAAATTGTCAAATTGGTTTTATATTATTCAGGTACCTATACAAAATTTAAGAAGTAATCTCTACGCAAATAGTTGTTTTTATATTGAATTATAATATTGTATTAAAAATTTTTTTTCAGATCCAGAGTGATAAAACAGAAAATTGGAGGGCTAAAGGCTGGAAGAAAGTACGCAATCCAAGTTATTGCTTCAAATAAAGGATATTCAGTGCCTTACAATACGTTGTACGTTGATACTAAGGTTTCATGCAAAGAGGATTGAATATAGAGTTATTTATATTTTATTCGGCAAGAAGGAATGTATGACAGGCATTAATAGTCCCTCTAAATAGACACTTATTATATCAAAACGATTATGTAAATCAGATATCACTTATTTATGAAATAGTTAACGTTAGCGGTTTTCGATTTCGCGCTCATTAGATGGCGCTAGTTAGGCATAAAAGCCGATCGGTCCGATAAGCTCAGCAGTCAAAAGTTAACTATGAAATTACATTAGCCAATTATGATACTGGCCATTCAGGCTTACGACTTACTTGATTGATTTTGAGAAGAGAAAAATATTGTCATTTATTTTTGTTTAGTTTTCTAATCATCAATTTAAAAAATTCAGTAAATAAAAATTTAACTAACACATGTAAATATATTCTTCTTGCGGAATAAAAACTATTTTTGGTAACAGTATTAGTAGAGTAAAAATGGTTTGAGTGGTTTCCTTTCTAATAGTTTAAAATATTTTTTCTATTTATATCCATTTGTGGCCCAATCCTTGCCCAATGTAAATAAATCAGTTTGTGCCTGAAGAACCTATCTGTATTATTTTCAATTAATATGGCATTTATTTGTGTTTTAATTTTAAATACCTATTATGTAGTCTTGTAATTATACAATCATAGTTCGATTTGTTATGCTCGCTTGGTGTCAATTATGTACCTAAAATATTGTAAAAAGGATTACCTATGATCTGTTTTTTTGAGAAAGTTTCTTTTTGAGTTTTGTTTTTTCTCTCTGTCCTGGCTTTGTTAGTATAAATATGTGCTTATTTTTAATTTACGTCTAATACGCTAATAAGTTTGTAATTTGTAATACAAATAGTTATTTTAGGTAATTGAATATGAAATCTATAAGTTCCTATTATTTTGTATGTAAATAGAGTTGATTGATAAGAATAATGCATAATCTATAAATAAATAATAAATTAAATCAGATCTACGAATTTATGGTGTTTTATTTGATATCTGTTCCATGAAAAGTACGTATTGTTACGACAGTAATCAGACACAACAAAAGATGTCTTGTCCAGTGTCCAAAACTGAACAAGTTTCTCCTAAAATAGTAAGTATTTAGGTAGGTGCACTACATTAAAATTATTTTTACTGACATCGGAACCCATTTCGAATTATAATATTCTGTTTGCAAAAATTATTCTTTTGTAATCATATGTATTTTACACAGAAATAAAGCAAAAACAGAACAAGGGATTTGTTGTTGTGAACTGTTACTATTTTACTTCCATGTATCCAAACGAATTACTCGTTCTAGTAGCGTATCCAAACATAAAAACTTCAGTTGATATGTCATCTGTCAAAATTATCACTGACGTCACTGTCATTAAAACTGCATTGTTTTGTGAATGTATTTGTGATTTGCGAGTTTTTATTTTAATTTCACAAATATAAACCAAATAGTGTGTATAAATAACATAACAATGTCGGTAAAAGAGAAAGAATTCTTCGGGCCGTTAACTCTTCACGAGAAAACGGATAACCCGTCAATTTTTAAAAGCGAAGAAGTGACTGAGTGTTCATGTGTTTTATGTGAACAGAATTTCTTACTGCCATCAAATGAGAAGGATTTGCTTACCCATTTGTTCATGAAGCATCGTTTAGTTATAGCTGATGTTAACCAAATCGCTGATTTGAAAGAATACTTGCGATATTGGCGACTGAGATTTAAAGGTTAGTTCTTTGAGTTTTCATTCCCTTTTATGTTATGAAACGTATACTAGATTATTGCAATGGTTGGAAATAGTTGTATGGTCAATATTTTATCATTAAATCATAACATAACAACATCAAGCCTTTTTACCCCCGAAGGGGTAGACAGAGGTGCACATTTCGGCACTTAATGCCACTGTACGATGTACACCCACTATTCACTATTTATGTTATGAGTCCAATGTAATAGGGGGTGAGCCTATTGCCATATACTGGGCACATTTCCAGACTCCGTGCTACTACTGAGATTTCTAAAAACCCAGTAATATGTACTTTGCTCGACCGTGAAATCGAACCCGAGCCCTTGCCCAGCAGTCACACTTGCGAACACTTAGGCAACGAGGCAATCAATGTTTTATTTAAACTGTCAAGCACCAAGCGGTCACCGGTGACCGCGACCTATTGTTCTTTAATTGTGTCTATAAAACCGGTACTCGACGAGTTAATCAACATTTTTAATACCATTTCATGGTTCAGTGTTGAAAATACAGTCGTGTTTTGGTCACAGATTACCTAGTGATTACTCTTGAAGGAAAGTCCCTTAAACATTGTATTGATACATTACTAAGTCATGCGCAGACAATGTACCACACAGTATTATGAAGGCTTTTTCTTCTTATTTTTATTCTGCTCAGTTACATACTTTAGTAATTTTAGGTTTTTATATTGTTGCCAAAAGGAAACAAAAAATAAGTTTTTATGATAGGTTATGGTATTAGTCTATTACCAAACATACAACTGTTAAAGAATATTGATGTAATATCTCATGACTATAGTGTAGATTATTGTTATTTACACTTTAAAGAAATCTACCATGTTAAAGCCCACATTGAACAGGCATTGCGATTATTGATGATTATTGTTCAAACCTCAATGCGTGAAGAGGCCTATAGGCAGCAACACCCACTTATAGGCTGTATCATTTGGTCCTATTAGTTGATGATGAGAATAACAATGTTTAAATTGTATTAATTATAGCTTTCATCTTAATGTTTCAGATCAGAACCTGCCATACTTCTGCACCACGATGCTACTGGACAACAAGCCAGATGGTACAAAATCCAAAAATGAAGAATATTATTTACTCAGCGATGTCCTTCCTGAAGATAAGGAACTGCGCACAAATCTTCAGCAGACAAGATTAGAAAAATTACTAGAAAGACATCAGTTTGAACGAGAGGATAAAAATTATGTGAGAGAATGTCTCTTCTGTCGTAACATATCAACTACAACTAGAGCGAATTACCTCAACCATTTATATGAAAAACATAACTTCCACATCGCTAAACCAGACAACTTAATATTCATAGATGAACTCGTAAACACAATAGCTACTAAACTAGAGAAATTGCAATGCATATTCTGCGAAGGTAATTTCAAAGACCGCACCATACTGAAAGAACACATGCGTAAAAAAGGACACAAGAGAATTAACCCAGAAAATAAGGAATATGACAAATTCTTTCTAGTCAATTACGTTGGTGATAAACAACAAAGTAAACAATATTATAGGCTAAATAAAAATCAGAATGTAAAGAAAACACTGGAGTTTGAAAATGATTCTAATGTGGACAGCGATCCGGAGTGGTCTGATTGGACCGAAGAGAACGGTCCGCTCATAACCTGCCTCTTATGTGAACACACTGAGAAAGAATATGACAAAACTTTAGACCACATGGAGAAACAACATGAATTTTACTTCAGCAAAGTTACGGAGGGCATGGATTTCTACCACAAAGTCAAAATAGTGAACTACATACGTCGTCAAATACATTTGAAGCAATGTTTATCTTGTGATACGAAGTTTGATGATTCGAAGAACTTAGAAAAGCATTTGAAAGAGACGAAACATTGGGAATTGTGCAAGGAGAAGTGGGATCAACCGGAGTACTACTTTCCGACTTATGAAGATGATTTGTTCCTGTGTTTCATTCAAGACGATGATGAGAGCTGGTGGTCTAATGATGACCAGGAGGTTGAGAAGCGTAATAGCATGTCCGATAGTATATCTAAAGAAATGGCGTTAGCTGTTTTAGGTGATTGAATAGTGTAGTCTGATATTGAAAGACTGAACTAGAAAAAGCAGATTGTGTCTGTTAAATGAATTTCAATGTTATGGGTGTGAAAAGAAAGTTTAAAATGTAATGTTGATTGTACATTGTGTACCTATGTATTATCTAATTTGGTAAATAGTTTTGGATTTTATTTTAACTGTGTTAAAGTTGAGATTTGTAATTTTATCATGTTGATCCTAAATCAAAAATTAACTTGTGTGGTTGGTTGCTTGACCGGTATGTTCTCTAAAACTATTTGAATTCGAATTATTGTTCATTGTATCAGTTATTTCACTTGTACCTAATACCTATGCTCAATTTGTGTAATAATATAACTGTATTTGATGCTAACCTGTTCTAAAAAGTACTATAAAATGTAATAACTGTTGAAACAGGATTCATAATTTTATTCTATTAACACTTAAGTGTTTTTCTTACAAACTTATAGGACAAAACTGTACATTTATTTCTCTATGGATCTGTATATTGTTGGTGTAGGTAACAAGGTGTACCTTGGTACATAAATGATACATGTATTTGCGAGTAATATGCGAGTGTTCCTGCGAAGACGGATTGGGAGTCATTTGAGCCTGTTACGGAATTCAGAAATATGATCGAACTTCCTAAGACCAAAGACGAAACGGATACATACATTTTGTAAACGCTCAAGTTTATTTAATAGCTCCTCTGTGGCGTCCAAATAGCAAGCATCTGCATAGTCAATGAGAGACAAGATCAGCGCCTGGACGAGGTGAATCTTGGTCTTCACCGGCAGCAGGGTCTTTTTTTTTTTAAGGGGGGAAAATCATCGAATGACTGCTCCCGCCTGGGTGAGGCGGAAGGGAGTGTCAGACTCTTACTGACTAAAAACCACCCCGTTCCTTCTCCTGCACGTCGAGCTGGAGCCCCGGTTACCCGTTAGGTTCTCCGCGACGGAGGCACCTCAGCGAGTGAATGGAAAAATGAACTTTCCGACTAACCCAGTTCACCTAAACAGCCTACGACAGGTTCCAGTCGATATGTACCCCAAAGGTTTTCGCAGTATCACGAATGGAATGTGTGTGTCATTCCGAAACGGACCATGGCTAGAGACGTCGAGAGCGTTTCGATAATAATGTGTAATGATAAAAACGAGCTTTGTTTTTAAAAGTAAGAAGTATTTTTTTATTTTATGTAATCACTAGCTTTTACCCGCGGCTTCGCTCGCGTCA